ATATTATCCTATCAGTAAGCCCACAGTTTAAAATCCAAAAATCTTGTATCTATAGGCAACTTCAGAAGTAACGTGTATGTTCCAGTATTATTATAATAACAAGTTAATACTTCTTCTATTTGATATAGTTTTTGAAAGAAAACTACTTTTTTAAACTAATTTTTGAATGCAGCCAAACTGTAAAAGAAAATAGAATGATTTAAAAAAATACATAGTTTATATAATTAAACATTAGAATACTACGTAATCATTGTACCAGAGATTTAATGGGTCACAGAATAAAAATTAACAATTGTCTGAGACTTCCCTTCCACAAAGTAGCATTTTATTCATTAGGACATACATGTACTGTATATAAATGTTGCTTGTGTTCATCTGTTGAATATGAATTCTGATAATGTATGTGTACTCAATAAGCTATAAAGCAACAGTATAGGGATGGGTGGGCAATGGCCCATCCAGGCCCACCAAATATGAAACTACTTGATTGGTCCCTTATCCAACTACATCATAGTTAGCATTTCCTGCCCATATGTCATAACTCCAGACCCGCCTGTAATTTAGTGCCTGGCTATGCTATTACAAAAACGTACTCTAGTTTGTGGAGATAGTAATAACAAAAATATTACCTTCTTTACATGTTAATAGTAAGAATATACAAGATTAGTTTAACTAGTTAGTTTAACACTTCAAAAAGTAGAAGAAGAATTAATTTTTTTTTTTCCAGAGATGAGACAACAATGAACATTATGGGAATTGAGTTTGCCCCACTTCGTATTCCATTAGCTCGTCGGCTACAGACCTTAGCAGTATTGTACTACAGTTCAAGTTTTATCTTTTTTGGAGCAGGTGGAATACTACTATGTATTTTTATGCTATTCACAAGACTGTATTATTTACCAATCCTGTATGCAGCATGGTTTGCTTATGATCACAGTGTTTGTAATAAAGGTGGCAGACCTTGGAAATGGGTAAGAAACTGGAGAATATGGAAATATTTCCGTGATTATTTTCCCATCAGACTTGTTAAGACAGCAGAACTTGACCCCAACAAAAACTATATTTTGGGTTACCACCCACATGGAATTATGTGTGCAGGAGCATTCTGTAATTTTGCCACTGAAGGTACCAATTTTAGTGAAATATTCCCTCAAATTAAACCCCACCTGCTGACTTTGGAATGCCAGTTTTTGTTTCCATTCCACCGTGAACTTTTTCTTTGCTCAGGTAAGAAACTATAGGGGCTAGAAATATATAGTACTTCTTAAAACATCTATGTACATACATATGTTACTTCAGTTACGACATGTAGGAAAAAATAAAACAGATTTAAATTCAGAGAAACACTTATGAGACAGATGTTTCTTAACAGAAACAAGGATGTAGAACTTCAAAAAAAATTAAAAATTATCCAATGTATAAATTTATAAAAAAATCTAGTTGCCCGATTCCTGTTCCATATACAAAATATGTTGCCCGATTCCCGTTCCATTTACAAAATATAAGCAGAAGAAGTAGATTATTACTTTTAGCATTTGGATTTTATTTAATAGTGAACACAATCAATGCAATGCCATTGGTAACTCAGTTTTGTTGGTAATGGGATATATTGTATTTTGCATCTAACTTCATCATATATAATCCTTCATGTATTTTATAGTTTTTGACATTTAGTCATTAGGATTTAACAGTGAAGCATATAGAATACCCCACACAGGAACTGATAAAGAAATTGTACTGTACAATGATGCTGCCACAAATGAAAATGGTGTTTAATATATGTAGATAGAGTTGGCAGTAAAACTGAGGGTTTCTGCTGTAGACAAAAGCAATGTAATACGGTTGTTGTATTAATTTAAATATGTTTGATACTCTGTGTGTGAATGAGGGTTTGTGGATGTATATTTGTATATAAACACATGGTCTCCATTTGAAGTTTAGAAGTACACATTTTTAAATGTTCATGTGTATGTTGTAGACTTCCATAGTTCAGAAATTTTAAAGTTCTTGCTTACTCCCTAGAAATCTATCTGAAGATTTTTTCTAGCAACAGAACATAATGGTAAAACTTGTGTTGGGTGATATGAATTCCACATATCTGACACATTTACTGTATAACAAGTTTACATATTCAGTAACATCATTTTTTATTCATAACTTCTTGATTGTTATTAGCAGTTGAACTTGTTTAAGTGTGTTATGTATTTATGGATTATGTCTTCAATACCGTTTATCCATTCTTGAAATATATTTATTTTTAAGTAATGTACTAGTTACTTGTTTTGCGACATTTTTCAAAAACAGTTTGGACCTTTGTTCATTATGAGCCACAAAATCATTATTAACTACAATATTATGGTTGCTGGTCAACAATAGAAGGTATGTAAGATGGTGATGACTTACATTTACAAGTGAGAATGAAGTTCTGTATGTGTAATTCCTCATTGCTTATGCTATGAACAGTGTCACATTATTATAATTATTGCATTATTCAACTCAGCATTATGTATCCAGAGCAGTATGAAAATGAAGTCCCACAAAAGTGCATATAAACCATAAGAATAGTGCCAGTCATGAAGAAAATATATTTGTATAAAATTACCATGGAATATGCATATATTATGTCCTTCACTGAGCCTAGTATACAGTCCCTGTAAAAGTTTAAATTATCAACTGATTAGCACGTGCACAACTGTTTTTTAACTTCTGTAGAATAACCATTGCTAAGAGTGTGTCTTCTGTGAAGTGGTTCCCCTTTGGAACTTATCTTACAGTTGAACAGAACAAATGGACTTTGATATCTAATTAGGTCAGTGAACCATGTTGCAGTGAAACTAGATACAGGTTATATAAAAGAATCACAGTTACACTAACCTAGTAGTGTAGGGAGAAGTATCTATATGGTATCTAAGTATTGTTTCTGTAAACATTTTTGTCATGATGTACATGTATCATCGTACATGAATTCTTGTATTTTCTCAAAATTAACAAATACCAGTAGAAGTTTTGAAATAAATTATTATCACAACAATCACATGATAACAAGGATTATACATTTATCAATTCATACACTAGTGTGCATACATTAAGAGACCACCATTTAGTCTCTTGTGCAAAAGGTGGCCAGGTTGAAATTTAATAATAATGCCAATCTAAAGCTTATATTTATTCAAATACCTTCTAAGTCATATGTTTGGTTTACATTCATTTTAAAAATCAGAAGTAAAAATATCAGAACTGAAAACGGTTATATTTCTGAAAACTGGGGCATGTAGCATTTACATGTTCAAATGCTGTGGTTATTAAACTAATATCCAACACCAAATAGCTTCCACACGTATAGTAATTTTCTATATTAAAAAGTATTAAAATTTTCCCTTGATCATTAGCTACTTGCTTTTGTAAAAGAAAAAAAATCTACTTTAAAATGCACAGTTTCTGATGACATAAAATACAGCATAATGATTTTATATAAAAATATCAAAAACTGGAGTTCTAAAAATAATCAAAAGATGCAATGAAACTGGTATCTCTGACAAGACTCAAGAGCAAGCCAAGAAGACCAGGAGGATCATTCAAGGTTTCCAATTCAAATGTTAAGTAACTTAGGCTTACTTAACTCAGAGACAGATGTAAATCCAGCAGCAGAATTTCATGATACCACTGTAACAAGAATATCTTGTTTTGGAAAGGCAGCAAACAGAAGAGACTTATGTTTACAAAAACTGTATGCACCCTGGTCTGATGTGTCAAGGTTTGAAATTTTTGGAACAAATAGATGTCAGTACATTTATTGCAGGAGTAATGAGAGATTACAAGAATGGTGGAGGGTTGTATTCAAATATAGAGCTGTTTAACCATGACTAGTTGTGGGAGCTGTAGATTGTACCCAATATAAACAAATACTACTCATTTACTATGCTATTCCTTCTGGACAACATGTTGTGGTAGAAAATTTTATTTTGCAGCATAACTATCTTAAACCTGCAATAAATGCAGTAAATCAGTATCTTAATGGAAAGGAAACAGATGAAACCCTTGTGTACTTAATGTGGCTTGTTGAGTTTTTGTGGGGCTATCTTGATATTAAAAAAAAAACAGCAAAGGCAGTTCAAATCTGAAGAGGAAGTCTGGGCAGTACTGGAAGGGGCCTGAAACTGTTTTTACAAAAGTAAGTAACTAATGATCAAGAGAAAAGTTTTAACACTTCTCCAAAAGCTTGAAGAAAGTATTCCTCATGGCATTCTTGACAGTGATTTCAGCTATGAGCTGTCACAAAAATATAAAAGAAACAAACTCTAAATTTGCTTTTTTTCCAAAAACGGATTTACCTCCTCTCACTCTCTATTTTCAGTAATCAGCACACCAGTTTCGCACCATTTTTGAACATGTACCTATCATATGACTACTTTCCACCAATGGTATTGTGCCACCTGTAATGGTGCAACTAGCTCCCTCTGCTATTCCTGCTCAAGCCCCACTTCCTTGATTGGCATGACACAGTTTAGACACATTTTTTTTTTTTCGAGTGTGACTACATTTTTTGATTGTGCTTTGTTACCTTTTCAGTCAAAGTTTAATCTCACAATTTTTTAAATTTTATGTTTGTTTCCAATTGTTTCTACAGTGTTGCATTCAACTAAATTCTCGTTTCCGAATTCTACGTTTTCAATATGAATTTGAGATTTAATGTGGTGGACAGTGATATTCTTGCCATATGTGACAATGCACATGACATGTCTTCCCAAGGCATGGGATCGACTTTATTTGCTGAGGAATTTCAAACCTTGGTTTGCAGGGAGTTACACTCTTACATTTGACTAGTGATTTCTTCTCCTTGTCCACCTGACCATGTTTTTGAGGAGGCCTACTATCATGAGAAAGAAAATTTGGATTCTATTTTTCTGGCTCTTTCCTTTTTTTGGTCAGTCACAGTCTACACCCGTTCAGGACATTTCACTTCCTATTCCCTTCTTACAACTTTTCAATCAGGTATGTCATGTTTAGGTGTTTCCCATATAGCCTATGATTCTTCCGCTGCCTTATTTGGTGAAAGTCCACCTTCCAATTATTATGTTATTCCTCTTTCTCCCAACATTAATATTCTTTCTCAGAGATTTTCTGATCAACTACAGTCGGCTATAGGTGTTCCCTGTCCCTTCTTTTGTTGGATCAATATGCCTTAGATTCTCAGTGTTTAAATCCTCCCCTTCCCCTGTGGGGCTCAAATCCTTGGGCTTCCATCGACTTCAATAAAGTGCAGTTTTCCAGGATTCATCTTTCTCTGACCTCACTTTTATGCTACCTTTCCTCCCTCCAATTAATGTCTGAGGCCTTTCGTTAATATCCTCATGTCTTTTCAGAAGAGCTCAGGACCCTCCTTTGGGCCACCATGGCTCATTTATCAGCCTCTGCCCTTTCCCTCAATACCTGGCAACTTTGCTGTTGAGACTTGTTAGGGAAGGATGCTTTACTGGAGGGGGTTTGCCCCTCTTCTATGTGATTCTGTATTTAGGAGTCGTCCAGATTCCCTAGAATCACTGATTGATGGATGTAGGTTACATTCCTCCTTATCCTCACGTTTGTATCATCCTCCTGTTACCTCACAGGATTCACCTATCCTGGTTTCTGCCCTCCTCCGTTCTCAGTTTATTCATGGGCATTTTGACAGATGCCAGCATTATTGGTGACACAGCAGAGGTTCCCTGTCCCGTGGGGGCCAAATTGCTTCACTTCTCAACCGTGTAGCAGCACTTCACGACAGATCCATGGGTTCTACAGGTTCTGTTGGAAGGTTTCTGCCTTCGTTTCCTGTCCTTATCTCTTTCACTTTCCCTAATTTCCTTTCCTCCTCCTTAGGATCCTTCCTTTCTCAGTCGTCTTGCCAAGGCCATTCAAAACCTTCTATGCAAAAAAGCTATCTAGTGGGTGGTTCCTGCTCATCCGGATTTTTATTCCCGTCTCTTTGTGGTCCCCAAAAAGATGGGTGATTGTAGGTTAATTATAGATCTGTCCCAGTTGAATTCCTTTCAGGAATCCCCTTGCTTCGTCATGGAGTCCTATCTCTCACTTCGGTGGGTGTTTTTCTCGGGACTCTGGATGACCAAATTCGGCGTGATGTACACCTATCTTCACATTCCCACTGCTCCAGAGTTACATCATTTTCTTTGGTTCATCCATGAGCGTCAAGTGTTCCAGTTCAGGGCACTGTCATTTAGTCTCTCTTCAGCTCCATATTTGCTTTGTCAAGTGGGTTGCTTGTTTGTTCATCACCTTCACTCACTGGGTCTTTGTACTTATTATTATATGGATGACTGGTTCCTGCTCACCTATTCCCAGTTGCATTCACTGAATCACACACATTTGCTTTTACAGGAAGCAGCATGGGTGGATATTCTGTACAAGTTGGAGAAGTCTATTCTTACCCCCACTTAGTACCTGGTTTATTTGGGAGTTTTCTTCAATTCACACCTCAGTCAGGCCCAGCCTTCTCATCTTCATATTGGGGATATGGAATGGACAGTCACAAAAACCCTTACCTCTCCTCCTCTCACAGCTCAAGAGATTCTATCTCTTTTGTGGATGTGGGCTTCCTTGGAAGCTCTCATTCCCATGGGTCAAGCTCATATACATTCACTTCAGTGTACACTTCTCGATCAGTTGAAATTTTCCCTGGATCTCTTGGACCATTCTTTTATCCTTCCTTCCATAACCAGGGTGGAACTAACTTGGTGGCTCAGCAGGGATCAGACCATGGTTGGAGTTCTCATTCTTCCACCTCATCCAGTTCATGGATGTATCTTTGGTGGATTGGGGCTTTCCTGAGCTCTCAAGAGATTTCCAGTCTGTGGTCTGTAGAGGAGTCTGCACTACACATAGACATCCCCAAGCTCTTGGCAGTCTGTCGAGCTTTGACCCATTTCCTTCCACTCCTGCAGGGGTGGGAGGTTATGGTCTACTTTAACAATTCCGCTGCCATCAATTATATTACCAAGCAAGATAAAACTAAATCCAGGTCTCTGTGTTTTCAGAATCTGGATCTTCTTTTCTGGGCCCACAATCACAACATGGTAGTATTAGTTTGCCATTTTCCTGAAGCCCTGAATCTGGTTGCTGATCGTTTATCTTGCCCAATTAAGTTCTCCTCAGAGAGTAATCCCTTCATCCATAAGTTTTTTGGTGGGTGTGTTCTCAACTTCGGACACCCCTTATCGATGCCTTTGCCACACACTGGAACATGGAACACCACACTTCCTTCCTTTTGGTCTGCCATTCTACACCCATCAGTCAGGAATGGACAGGTCTTCACATCCTATCCAAAATTTTATCCCTCATCTAGACCACTCCTTGTCTTATCCTGCTGGTTGCTCTGTATTGGCCTGCACAGCCTTGATTCCCTCTGCTTTGATCTTTACTTGTGCAATGTCCCCTGCTGTTATCTCTGTCTTGGTCTCTCCTCCGTCAACCTTGATTGGACATTGTTCATCTTGACATCATCAATCTCTGTCTTCATGCTTGACTTTTGTCCAGTCCCTTGCCTTAGTCTAGGGACTGACTCCTCATGTAGTGTCTTTCCTTAACCATCAGAACTTCTTCCTTGTACATTTATCAAGCTTGTTGGTCTACCTTCTAGTGCTGGTATCTTCACCATGGCTTCTGTACCTCCCGTCCTTCTGTTCCTAAGCTTTCCCAATTCTTCACCTGGTTTATCAACCAGGATTTGTCTGTTTTAACTGTGTCCAGTTATCGGGCAGCCCTATTGAACATTTTCTCCTCCCCAGTTATTTCCTTCCTTTTCCATTTCATATTGTTTGTCCACATTCCTTTGTTGTACCAGATTGGGATCTTAATGTAGTCCTTTATGCCCTTTCTCATTCTCCCTTTGAACCACTTGCTACGTGATTCTTGTACCATCTTTCCCATAAGACCTATTTTCTTTTCTTCCTTGCCTGTGGACTCTGTTGTTCTGATATCTATTTCATTAATATTTCTCATATCCTTTAACATTCCTCTTGTGTGATTCCCTATCTATGGGTTTGTTTTTCTCACCCATTTCCTTACCTTTGATTTCCCACCTGTACTCCCATTCCTATCTGGATAGGCTTTGTCCGGTTTGATCCTTGAGATGTTATGTGGCTCATACTGCCTCCTTTCGGGGTTCATATTCCTGACTATATATTCCTTGGAACCCTTCTTTTTCTCGTGATCTGTTTCCAGTAATTGTCACTGGTTGGGTTTGTCAACTCTGACTTGTACATGGAAGGTTGCCATCTTCACAATGTCTCTTCACATCAGATTTGTCACATTACCATGTCTAGCTGCATACCTTCATTGCTCATTATCTGCATGATCTGGTTGTTTCTTCCTCTGGTGGATATCATCTTCCTCCTGTAGCTATTCTTCACATGTCCATTTGCTTTTAACTGGAGTAAGTCTGCTCATTTCCTGTATTTAGTGTTTTCTTTTCTGCTTTTTTACAGGTCCCATCTAGTGGCAGGTCTTTCCTGGGCAGGTATGCTTTGTCTCAAACCTACACTAAATGCTGTAACTATATAATGCTCACAGTTGAGATGGGGTGTTTCTGTAAGATCACTGGACAGAAGGGGCTTTCTGCCCATCCCTGCTAACAATGTATATGTTCAGAAATGGTGCAAAACTGGTGGAGTATAAAGACTAGTGCACTGATTACTAAAACTATTTTAGCAATGTTTAGAGGGCAGTCAACGATTGAGATAGCCTTTTGTGTGAGCGGAGGTAAGTACTATCAGAAATACATTTTTAGTGTAAGAAAACGCTAATGTATGGGTTTGTTCTGCCTTCAGACATTACGGAATTCGTAAATACCTGCAATAAAAGGAACTCAACATGTTTGGAATATAAAATACATGATGTTGATTGGATGATCTTTAATTGATGCACAGTATACGATAGGTAAAACTGAGTTATCTGTCTGGATTATTCATGTTACAGGTATTTATAAGGAACTAGTTAGTTGAACCAACTTTGAAATTTGGTAGAGAAAATTGGTGGATCCCCCACTTAAAAAAAAAGAAGAGAGATTGAGTTTAAATGGATAAACAGTTGGACAAACAGTTTGAGTTTAGCAACCATTTCAGTTTTTATAACATGAAGTCAATACCAAACATAAGTAATGTTTAATGCCACATGTAGTACAAGTACCTTTGTGCAATTGCTTGCCCTTATTCAGCAGATTTGCATCGTAGATAATACACACAGATACTGTCCCGCCATCTACATGAAGCCATAAAAAAAAGGATGATGCATGAAGTTCAGGGTATATTTGCTAATAGAGCTGGTTAATTAACTCAATCGCTTACCTATGAGCATTAGTAATGGCATGTGAAATAATCAATTAGTCAAAATTACAATTAGATAGGTTAGTGCCACACAAAATAATAGATTAATTAACAATACGATTAAATTGATTAATGTCGTGAAAATAAGCAACAAACCAAAATTGGTATTTCTGACTACTTTTTTTTTATTCCAATTGTCCAAGTATTTAATTTCACTTTATTATTTTTTATTAATTCAAGGTTGTTCAGCTTAATTGATTAATGTCACAACTCACTGAAATATTAAAGTGTTTGATTGTTACTATTTTCTCTTACTCCAACTATTCGCGTCTGATGTGAGGAAAATCAATTAGTTGAATGCAGTTGCTTAATGAGTGCAATGATTAATTGATTACCAAATTCCACTAAATGCCAAGCTGTATATTTGTTATTATGTATATAACTTGTAGTTCAAGTGGAAAAATCAAATAAACAATAATGCAGTTAATATTTATGCAAGAAATAAATATCTAATGACCTTTTACTTTAAACCATAGAACTGTTTATTTGAGAAATTGATCTAAAGTTTTACAATTACAAGTTCACTAGACTAATAGAACTAAGTGATCAAAATTTAATTAATGTTTTCATGTATGCCTTTCATAAGTTATTACAACTCTGTATAAAAAATAAAAGGGCTATTACAACTTGCCAACAATATTTCTACATTTAGTGAGAACTGTTTGTAATTTTGTATGTGTTGATCATCAGTGGTATGACGATTCTGTTTTCCTAGTAGTTATATATAACTTAGGAACAAAAACATGCTAATTATATAATAGAGTAGCACTAAAATAATTTAGCAAAGTAATGATAAAAGATTGACTAAAAATGCTAAATGTCCATAGATCAATAAACCTTGGTTATGATTCAGTTGATCCTTGCTTGCTATTACAGTACATTTATCCTGAAGTGGAACTGTTGGAAAACATTATTTGTTATAAAACAATATTTTATAAGAAATAATCTCTCAGTCATGCAATCAATTTTGCTTTTAGCATTAAATCAACTAAAAGAAAAGGTAAATAATTTATTGATGTGTTTTATAAAATCCTGTTGAATTTTGATTGTTAAAACTTGATTGTAAACCTCTCGTTCATAGGAATTGCTCCTTTCTGCAAAATTATGAAACTAATAATTCTAAATTTTCAAAGGACCTTCATATCTAATGAGTAAAATATGATTATTATCTGTGATTTTAAGCGATTTTTTTATGAAAGGACAGTGTAGAAGGGACATTAGTTACATAAGTATTAATCTTTAAGTGATCTGTCTGTGTAGGGGCTTGCTCCGTTTCTAAAGATAGCATGGAGTGGCTGTTGACAAAGGAAGGAAAAGGCAATGCTCTGGTCCTTGTAATTGGTGGTGCAGTTGAAGCATTAGATGCTCACCCAGGAACTGTTAATCTTGTTCTGAAACGAAGAAAAGGATTCATTCGTTTGGCCCTCAGGCATGGGTTAGTAATTGCTGGTTTATATGAAAGGATTACCCTTGTAGTTATTAACCTTACTTAAAATAGTTGTCAGAAAAAAATAAATTTGTATACTTGGTGTAAATATTTCATAGTTCTGTATAATACATTAGCACACAGGATCACATACAAAAGTTGTACTGGTTTTTAAATGAGACCCAAAACTAAAGTGCTTTTGAATAGCTCACTATTCTTCTTCAGCAGGAAGAATAGTGAGCTAATCGAAAGCACTCGAGTTTTGGGTCTCATTTGAAAACCATTAAATATTTTAGAGGAATTCCTATTAATGTTACATAGAAATTTGAAAAGTAGTATAACCATTCTGAGAAAAATTTGTTTGAACAAGACGTAAGTTGTTATGAACAATAGACAAAATAGATGAAAACAAAATTTGGGTGTGTTCTCTGGTAAGTTTCCTAGCACTGACATCTAAATTTGACTTCTGTATATCTGTATTTAGAGTTCCTCTAGTTCCAGTCTTTTGTTTTGGAGAAAATGATCTATTTGATCAGGTTCACAATCCTGATGGGTCCTGGCTTCGAAAAGTGCAGGATAAGCTAACCCATCGCCTAGGCTTTTCTCCACCTCTTTTCTATGGAAGAGGAGTGTTTCAGTACAATGTAGGCTATTTACCATACAGGAAGCCTGTGACAACTGTTGGTAAGAGATTTTTATTTATTTATTTACTGTATTGTAGAATTGTTTTTCTTATAATAAATCTCCGTAATTCACTGTCTTTTTTTTTTTAATATGAGCTAGAAAATGTTGTATTTGAGGAGACTTTAAATATATGTATTTGTAATGCATGGAACATATCTCTGTTCAGTATAAGTAGGGATTACATCAGTTAGTGTCATGTAACATAATCTATTAATTTATTAATCTATTACTGTTTATGATTATTCCAACCATCCAGTAATTGAAATATTGCCATTATTATTTTTGATTAATTCAAGTTTGTTCAGTTTCATTAATTAATATTGTGACTCAAGAAAATAATCAATTGATCTAAGTTAGGGTTTCTAATTATGCAACTATGTATTACTATTGTGATTATTACAACTATCCAGTTACTGTGAAAAAAGCTACACAATTGTATCATTATAATTTTTGTTTTTAATTAACTTTTATGAGAATAATCAATTTTTCATATTGAAATAATTTTTTGGTAAAGGCATGCAATGTAAAAAGATATTAGGCCTAGCATGATATCAGAATAACTATTTTTTTGTGTTTTAATTAAAATCTAAACTTAAAAAGTTAAAGTTGTTCAGGAATCCTTGTAGGATCCCAGTTAGAAAGTTGGAAATCTCCAAAGAATTATTCACTCATCCTCAAAATAGTTTTTAGCCTCGACTTCCTCTTAGAAGTTACATTGTTGATGCATGAGATGTTTTATTTCCATGTATTTGATAATTAAGGTCAGTTATTACAAAAAACTATGCAGTAAATAAGTTTATGATTGGAATTCTATTTGCATAACTATTATATCACAAAATTTAATTTGACCATAAACTAAAATCCAGCACAGCAACTGCTGCAATGAAGAGTGCTGTGTATGTTTCTTTTTGATTTCATGGTAGATGACCACTCATTTTGGGCCTGGTAATAAGTGTTTCTTTGCTTTTTCTTCATAGTTGGAAGACCTATTGACGTTGAGAAGAATGAGAATCCAACTGACGAGGAAGTAAACAGCCTTCATAGTAGGTACATGGAAGAACTTCAGAATTTGTTTAATGAACACAAGGATAAATATGGAAAGCCAGGCTTAAATCTTCAAATTTCATAATAATCTAAACCAATGGATTTTACTATGCCCATAAAATTATCCTGTTGATCTCTGCAGAGCTAACACTTTCCCTCAGTATTTATATCACACATGCTTGTTTAATGTGTGAAATGTCAAAAATGTTAAGTGGAGATAAAAGTATTAGATTTTCAAGTCAGTTCTGTGAAGATTAACTGCATCAATGTGTTTTTTTTTTCTAGTAAAACTTTAATATTTTGCAAATAGTAAATTGAGAAAATTATTCAGAATTACTTGATGGCTCGAAGATAAATTTGAAAAAAAAATACAAAAAGTATTAACATTCATAATTGTTTGTTGTCTAATTGGAGAATAAACTTTATGTACTTAAACATCTTAGTTACAGTTGCATTAACCTTAAGTATATATTTTCCAACATGATTTCATTTTATACATAAGCAAGTTGTGGTTGATATTCTACAAGCTGTGGTTGATATTCTACAAGTAGTGGTTGATATTCTACAAGTAGTGGTTGATATTCTATAAGTTGTTTTGTTTAATTGGAGTGAATCACTTGGAAACATTTTCTGGAATTTAGCTTTTTGAATTGATGTATCTATTTCAGGTTAAGTTTTTATTTTTATAATTGTTAAATGTGTCATGTTATTACTAAGAAGAAATACTGAAATATCAAACCTGGTACAGGTTGAGAATCAACATTTGTTTTTATATGGCATTAATACATGTTTACAAGTGCAAATGGAAATTGGTAATTTTTGTCTAATATTAATAACAGATCTTATTTTAACCTATTTGTGAGAACGTTTAAAGGAGTAATATTAATAACATATATTCTGATCCACTGATAAGAAATGTTTGTAATATTCACCACTGTCTGATGACTGCATTCTTGAAAGAAATGTGAAAAATGTAAGTCCATTTTCTACTTGTGTTTTCGTGGTTTAAGTTCAGAATGTTGAAGAAACATTTTCAATAATGTCACAACATTTGTGTAAAAGTTTGCATAAGTTACAATAGAAAGTACATAGTGTTTATATGATAATAGGACTCCCACATGATTTTGAATGCCATTATATGATAATAGGACTCCCACATGATTTTGAATGCCATTATATGATAATAGGACTCCCACATGATTTTGAATGCCATTATATGATAATAGGACTCCCACATGATTTTGAATGCCATTATATGATAATAGGACTCCCACATGATTTTGAATGCCATTATATGATAATAGAATTCCCACATGATTTTGAATGCCATTATATGATAATAGAATTCCCACATGATTTTGAATGCCATTCTGCATTTTTTAGCTGAAATACTTCAGTTAATAGCTTGTTAATGAAATGACAACTTAAGAAACCCCCTTTGTATTTTGTTGAAATTACTAACCTCAGGAAATATATTTTTGTTATCTTTATATAAGTACTTTGTGTAAGATTTAGTAATAACTTAATTTACTTCCTACTTGATACTTTTAAGTTACATTTTTTTAGATTTATTATACATAATTACATATAAATCTTAGTATTGGAGGAAATGTGACATAAAAAGGTTAGACTAGTTCTGTTGCTACACTTATGTAATACAGTATTAAGATTAAGTTTTTATAGCAAGTATATTGGTGCTGTAATAAAAATAAAATTACTAACTTTCTGTAAACAATAATTCTTACAGTATGACCAGCTGAGAACTGCAGTTTTGATCTATATAAGATACCATTAGCTAGATCAGTAGTGATTAAGTTCAGTAATCATTGGATGAGACTCTGGATGTTGGTTTTGTTCATATACTTTTTCCCCTGCAATATTGTTTTAGGGTAACCAACTTTTTAGCTTCAAGCATTCAACTTCTCGTTGATTTCTAATGAAAAAAACAAACAAACCTCATTTAGGTAAGAACATATGAAGGGTTTCTGAAGTAATTGTTTAATACCCCACTTGCTCTTTGTGGCAATAAGAGACCTTTTCTGTTTCAAAATAGTACTGGCCTAGTATTGCATTCATGGTTATGAATATTTCTTCACAATTAACTTGAAGTTTCCACATAATCATTGGTTGAAAGATCATGGTTGTGAGATAAAGATGAAGGCAGTGAGTAAAGGAACAAGAACCAGATGTCTGTCACAAAATACAAGTCTTTATTACTTAAAGTTAACATTAAGCTGAGGTCTGGTAGAAAATTCTACATTTACTGAAAATAATTACAGTTTTAAACTGAAATTAGGACAAGTAAACTTAAAGCTTGGGGAAAGACAATATAAAATATGCACACTGGTAATTGGTACAGAGGCAGGGAGAAGCACAATAGAGAAAAGTGAAGTCAAAACTTATTGAGTTAAAATGCTGGTAATGGACCAAAGAGAATAGCTATACAGGGCTGTAATAGTAAGATCACAGTTTTCCAAGAAAAGCAGAAAAATGGCTACCTCACTGAGAGAAAGAAAAGCTCTCCACTGTCATGGAAATGAGGATGAAACAAAGAACAGGAGAAAACAGCTCTAGATATAAGATATCTTTTCTAGTTATAAAACATCATTTACTTTCTTATTACAAATACAGGAACTATTAAGATATAACAACCATAACTCCCCCACTCCTTTACTTTAGGTTGCTTCTGTGGCTAATGTCATTTAAAAAATTTTAATCCAATCATCAGTAGACTGCATATCTCTTATTTCCATTGATACATTTGTCCTAGAAGGAGGGGGGGTGGTGTATACAGGCATGCATGACTTATGAGACAGGAACGTAACACCAACATTTGAATAAAACAACCTATCAGAAGACATAGCATGTCAAAAGCTCTTAAAATGAAATAATGAAAGATATAACCAAATATTCTTAGAGATCCAGACGAGAGTATCACACAACAATTTACAACATGGTGCAGTCTGATACCTGGAAACCTTTTTTTTTTATCTGACGTATCATATACTACATGTAATTCAAAGTATAAAGAAAAAAAATGCAAGTAATACATTTTAATGCCATACTATTTAAGTCAACAAAAATTCAAAGTCGTAATAGGTGGTAACACAACAACATACAATCAGATACATCATATTACAGAGTTTTATCACAAGGTCTAACATTATGCATTTCAATAGAGTTTAAACTGAAATATCAAAGTACAGAAAAGGGTGTGTATAACACAAAAGCTAAACACATACTGTCCTAAAAAATACAGTGAAATAACATCTACATCTGTCCTGTATGAAACTTTCTATTCACAGAGCATCAGTAATAAAATAAACTTAAAATAACATCACAACCAAAGTTTAACAAGTTTGTCATTTAAGTGAAAGCCAAATCATACAACTACATTTGCTTGAATGTGTATGAAAACAGCTCTTTATATCCAGTTTGGATAATCTTAACAAAAATGAAGAAGTATTTGGAAACACAAGTTAAACATCTTCCCCATTAAATCAAAGAGAAATGAACAATTTTAAATCATCAGAAGTTAGACTTATTAAAAAAGAAACATCAAGACAGGGAGTAGAATATCAGAATGTCTTTCTTGTGGGAAATTGAAAACAACAATAGACCTAATGTTAGAACACTATGAATACCCCACAGAAATATTATATGGAGACAAAAACAGTAAAATTATAACACTACAAGCAGAGGAGATAAGGAGCAATATGTCTGAAAAATATGACTCTACCTCTATAAACGAAAATGGGAAGTAATGAATGGAAAAGGATGTTTCCAGTGACATCATTTCTAATGATCATTAACTTTCCTACGACAAGTACAGGAACTATGGATCTAAAAATTTAGGGTAGTTTGTATGGATAATTCTTCCATACAATTGGTGATCTTAAAGTGGTTATACTTAATTGTTTAAGGCTGATTAAGGTCTAGTATTAGCATATTGGGCTGTATATTAAGGGGTCCAGAGTTTGAGATGTAATAGCAATTAACATTTTTGCACTTTCAACTGTGGGTGCATTATGTGTGTGGCAATCAATTCTGTTGTTCAGTTCTAAGATCCAGACAAAGCCACTGTGGCAGTGAGTGCTGCTGGCTTATTGCTTTCCCAGTGGTCAATAGTTCAAAATTAGGGATGACTACATCTGAAACTTGGGAGGTGAGTGAACTGACCTGTCTGATTGTTCCACACATGCATAAAGTGCTATTCAAGTAAAAAATTTCATTTAATCGTATTTGTAATTGGTATGATGAAGCACATAAAATAGTTCACGTTTAATAGGAACTGTAACAAACGATGATCAGTGTTGTCTGCTTGCCAATGTTCTCAGCAGTCATTGTGTTGCTTGTGATGTAGCTAGTGTTAAAAAAGTAGACCAACAAGTATGAAATAGTAACAAATGAATAGACAAAAACTTAACCTAAGTTACATTCAATATATTCAGTATTTAGTTACAACATACACAACTATTATCAAAACAAACTATTAGCCAAAATTTCAATTACATAGCAGGATTCATAGAATCTATGTCATGTTTATATGAGGCATGTCGATGTATATGTCAGAGTGAAATCGTTACGGACAAAAACAGGATTTTATTTCCTTTTGAAGTGGCCTTCATTCACACTGGACTTCAATTCCATTGAACAATAATGAGCTGCTCTTGGGAGACGTGTCACATTCCATCAAATGATTCTAGAAACCAAAGATGTCCTGAAAGCAGCTCTTCTAGAATCTTACCCTGGAATCAGACTGCCCTTGTTATTTGTAGCGACCATATTCTATGTTGAAGTGAAATCACAATAACTGTAAAAATATAACACCACACGTAATATCTGTTTATTTCCGAGCCTAAGATGATTGATCAATCATTTTACCCTGGAGGTCGTATGATTAGCTACACAATGGGCTATCTGTGCTCTGCCCACCAGGGGTATCGAAACCCAGTTTCTAGCGTTGTAAGTCCTCAGACATACCGCTGTGCCAAAGGTCATATGAGTGATCACCAGAAGCCTGACTTGCCTGAAAATAAGAGAGAGAATTGATTTTGGTATTACCTTGTAATAGCTGAATATACGAAATATTCCAATTATTCTTTAATTGTTTTGAGCAGTGAATTTTCTGTTACACCGTATAACAAAATCAACAGCAACAGATACGTATCAGTTTCAAAACTGAAGATTTCAATCTTATTCATCTATAATATACTGGAACCAAATGTTAAAAAATTATGCTAATATAAATATTGTGAATCTTGAACAATAAAATTACTTTATTTTTATGAATATAAACATGGAAATTCGCTTATAATATTAAAACGACCAGTAAATGAGAATGCAACTGTCCTGTGTACAGCATGTCGAATGCATCGTTACTCTGACTTTATGAGCTCATTATATTACCCATATAATTAAATAACCCAACTTTAAAGTATTTAGATTTACTAAAAATACTTAATAAACACGTCAGCTAACTATTGTTTTTAGCAAATGAACCATAAGGCTTACCATATAATTTTCTCACTTTCCATCGTGGAACCAGTAGCTACACAAATGTATAGATGAGTATGATTTTGTATCACTCTATTCATTCACTGAGATTCCCATATGGGTCATATTCTAAGAAAAACTATTTTTCCTTGCAAATACTCTCACGACTGTGTTCTATGCTTTATTCTATATTGTATTCTTGTTTTTTGGTACATCCAAATTGTTAAAATGTTTGGACAAATAACCAAGCCTTCAGAAAAAGGAAATGAAGCTAAATATACTTTAGTGGCGCCATCTAGTAAACGTGAATAATAGCTTTTGTCAAGTTACTTCTGTCGACTTGAATTTGACTATAACTTTCATCTTTAGAATAACTTAATATTCTTACAACAGAAAATGTTTTAAAGTTACTTATATATACATATTTGTAGTTCTTCGTAGAAAGTGCCACATTTTCTTTTTTGTTTATTTATTAATATATATATTTATCAAATCATATACTTTTCAGATCAGTGTCTAACAGTGAAATTAAAGAAGTCGATAGTCTGCGTACTTATGGCAAATTTGCAATTTTTAGTAATCTCGTAACACTTAAAGAAAGTAAACAAAGTAAAATAAGTATCATTGTTAAATCATGAGAAATTTGTAAAACAGCGTACATGTTTGTTGAAAAGAAAGAACGAAGTTAATAAAAACAATTAGACATATTCTGGAATTTTTTATAATTATAATAGTTCGAAAAAAAATTCGAATTGTCTTTAAAATAATTCACTAAACTAGTTCGAAGAAATCCCACTAGTGACGAAATTCGTGATGTATTAAAAAAGTGAAAAATGCTTTCAGTCTCCTCAAAAGCGTAAAAAGTTAAAGCTCAAGAATATAATTCTTAAGTTATGCTAATAAATTATTATCACTAACGAAACAAGACACTAAAAGTTGATCAATTTAACTTTACGTAAAAAATCAAATTTGTATTTTACTAAAAGTTTTGAATTAACGTTATTATGAGTATCAGAAATTCCTTAATGATCTAACGTTATATCATATTTTTTACTTTGAAATTTAGAAGTGGGCATGAAACTAAGCCGTTAAGTTTCGAAAAAGTTTAGAAATGGTTTAAATTTGCCAGTAGTATACAAGTTTTTTGTTTATATTCTGTATTCTAATAAAGTAAATCGCCTATATATATGTATATACACATAAAACCATATGTTCTGTTTCAAGAGTAAATAAAACCAAAATTAAGGATAACAATTATTTTTATTTCTTGCTATAAAATTCATATGTCATGCTGTGTTGTAGCCTACAGAGTGCATAATTTTTCTCGTCATTTATGGCATAGCATAGTGGTTAAAACAGGTGGTCCTCGGCCCCCTTTTGGGGAAATTATGAAACTGATTTGACGTTTCCAAACTCAACTTTTGTAGGAGATTCAATTCAACGGCGAAATCTGTTGCAAACTTGTATTTGTTTTGTGGTCAAAATGACGAGGTCCACACGTAGCATCAGAAAGAGTAATTCTATATTTTTGCCTGTCACAAAACTCAAGAGTAAAGAACTGACAAGGATACATCAGAAACGAAAGCAATAATCAGTAAAATGGCAGTATTGAGGTAATTTTTGTGACTCGTTTTTGTTTTATTAGTAGAAAGTTACACAATGGGCTATCTGTATTCCATCTACCGCGGGGTATCGAATCCCGAATTTTGCGTTGGAAGTCCGTAAATTTGCCATTGAACCACCAGGGTACTGGTTTTCGTTACTAGGGATTTTGTAACCAACAAAGTCATGGATCCACAAGCAATCTGCTATATAAATAGCACGTATAGTAAAAAAAAAAAAGGCGTTTGATTTTTCAATCTTGTGGAAGGTAATTCTAGGGCTAAAGTCAAACTTTAAATCTAAACTTTCTTATTAATTAACATGTTAGTAGAATCAAATCGAAAATATCATGTACTTTAGGTAATATAAAAACTCAAGACTTGTAAACAATATAAATATTCAACTTGTGCCATGGTATTGTGTTACATCATTTTGTTGCTGCGTTTTTTTATTTTTTAGAAGACAGACAGATAATGTACTGTTGGCAACTATAGATCGTAAAGTAAATTATGGAATGACAGACAATTTTCCAGGCACCCTCTCTTCGCTTCCACTGGCTACGAATGATCCTTTTAAGTTTTTTCATAATTAGGTTATTTGGTTACGTACGTAATATAGCAAACGTTATTTCTTATTATTCAATACGATTATCTTATATTCCACTATCCACAAAATTATATAATTTCCTGGCATCTCTGCAAATTCAAACCAACATTTTTAACATATTTCTTGGAAAACAGTAAACATTTCCAGTAATCCTGCAATAATGTGTAAAAAACAAAATTATAAAGTAATACTAACAGAGTAATAAATATCCATTGAAGAGATTTACCAAGGTCGTAAGATCAGAACATTGTGTAACTTTTATTAAGTTCTAAAAATATTTCGGGATTAGGAACACATTTGATAAATGTTAAAAAGAAAAGCATGTACCTTTATCTTTTTGCAGGGAATTTTAACCAACCGAAAATTATCACACGTTTTTATCTATTGATATGGCTGTTTTTCAATACGATAAACTACAATTTTGGTGGAAACTAATTTCTGAAGCACCTTCATTTTTCAAGAACATTGTAAGCTCAAGTAGTTTTCTTCCTTATCCTCACAAGTGTATTAAAGTCCAAGGTCAGATGTTATCAAGAACAGCCAAACAATAAACTGTTAGAAGCAGGGTGTTTCCATAGATTGTTGTTTAGTGTATCAGTATGTGAAACGATCATGTGTAACAATACTTTGCCGAATTATCAACTACATAATTGAATATCAATTACAAGTGGTTGTTTAGATGAAAATAAAAATAACAATGCTACAGGAATACAGTGGAATATCTTTTGCGAGATTAGATTTGTTTTCACTAGTTAAAATATTAAAACAAACTACTTCAAGAGTTTACTACCGATATTTAGTATTTAAATTAAAATATTTATTTAAGATGAACACATAAAAAAATCTGGATCCGAACTTTAGCTTTGTTTCGACATTCGATGTTTGTTTAGATTTAAGCACAAAGCTACACAATGGGCTATCTGTTCTCTGCCCACCACGGGTATCGAAACCCGGTTTCTAGCGTTGTAAGTCCGCAGACATACCGCTGTGCTCGACATTTGAATTGTAATGTTTCAGTCCAAAGTCAATCGTTGTTTTGTAAGACATTCACGGTCATTTTATGACGAATCTTAACATTAGTATTAAGTGTTATTTCATAAAATATACGTATTAATATATGTTTCATGTTTTTATTAAGAGTTGGATAATTTGTCGTATATCTAGCTCCTCCACCGACTTCTCGAACGATAGTTTCGGACATGTATTTAAGTAAAAATTAACAGTAAGCTTCCAAATGTACGTCTGTGACTACGTTATACTTCTAACAGATGCAAATGTCGTGTTGTTATTACAATAGTAGGACACGTAGAATCTATGTCATCATGTTGAATGACCTTATCATCAAGTCGTAGAACCAAATGTTAACATTGTGGTATACGAAACAAGATGTTCTTTCTCGTTTGAATTAGAAAGGTGAACGTTTATCGTATATTCAAAAGTTTTAGAAAATCGTGAACACTTATACACGTTGGCCCAGCATTAATTTATTGTGAAACTTTTTGTTGTACAGTTTGTTCTCTTTTTAAGTAGGTCATCTCGAAATTCTAAAATCTGCAACACGTTTCCTGCTTAACCCCTTGTTAGATCGGTTATTTTTACCTATTGAAAACTGCTATAGCTAACAATTAATGTATAACATCCCCAGCAAACGTTAAGGAAATGAATATCATGTA